GAATGAAATCAGCCCAGACATGTCTGAGAATATGGTTGATAGGACATACTTAAGAATACATCTTCTTTTTGCCAAAAAAAAAGTTTTTTTTTTTTTTATTTTTATTCTTTTTATACTCATTTTGACCACAGATATTACACTAATACTATGATATATATCCGTAGCACTAAAATATGGTAAACCATTAAATTTTCACATGATTTTATAGCCTTCATGAAGACAGAAACAAAATTTCTCTCCCGAAATCCAAGGGGTGTACAGTTCCTTATACTCGTGAGCTTAAAACAATGTCACTACTGCAGGAATTTACATTACTGATCCCGGGGAATTAATAATACTGAAGAACCCTGGAATTCAGATGATATATAATACTTACAGAGTTTATGCCAAGCAAAGACTGCAGTAATGTCATGAAGATGTATAATCTCATAAAACGATTTTCCTTCAAACTGACTTGGTTGATATCCAGCCACATCAAATACCCTACAATGAGAGGAGATAGTGTTACACCATGGCAATGACCGACTTGGTTGACATTTATCTATAGGGTAAAATATTCATAACCAAGTAGTTGACATGGCAACAACTTACAACTCATATAATAATGAATAAACAAAATAAGTGACATACCTGTCATCGACATTCTTAAATTTCAGGTCCATTTCATGTTTACTTCCGAAGACATTATTTTTCACATCAATGTTGGCATCAGATGCAAGTGAAATAAATGGTTGACAGGCCGCAAAGAGAACTTGACATGACGTCCTACTGCTCTGTTTCACTACTTCCGGGAATGACCTCATGGTTCCAGTACAGTGCATTTTCTGTAAAACAAAAGAAAAATTATTATTGATGAAAAATTCACCTAGCTCTTTTTTTATATATTTGGGGATTGGAGCATCCTGAACTAGGATAGTTCGTACATTCGTACACTTCAAAAGTTTGAAGCTTCTGTTTGATTTTTCATCTAGTATTTAGGTATTGATAAATTAAAATATGTTGTCAATTTAACAACAACCAATTATGTTTTTTTATCTCTACAAATGTATCAATAACAATACTAATTTTTTTTCAGTTACTTCAGAATGCATAACTATGGTAGACCAGGCTGCTCTCTATAGACAATTAGTCCCAGTAAATAAGCATGTTTTTCGTATAACCAGGGATTTTTATAAACAAGGGAACAGGGGCGCAGCGCCCTCATGCCATGGCCATGCGCCCCCTTACCCTGGGAAGCAGATCCTCTGGCAACCATAAAATTCTGATTGACCAGGGATCACATGTGGCCACAGGCTTCAACTGTGACCTGTCTGATAGTAATTTTGGCCCCAAGGTAGCTATTTTGACTTAAAATTATCAAAAACTCCACAACCCACTTGGATGTCACAGCTGAATTGCAGTGCTCCCTCTTGCAGTTTTTTTCTAGAAAAAAAAAACTGATAACTATAGGTCATCAGACTATCTTTTGTGAATGTACGTGTGTATGTGCAGTAACTGGTTGTCAAGAACTGACTCATGAACATCAAGCTGCTAGCACAACATTTTCCATTTTACTCACCACATAACCAGTACTAGTTCCATTGAAGCATTTCAACCGACATAGAAACTGGACTTTCTTATAATCCGGACAGTCAGAACTGGTGACATCATATAGTGACTGCTGGGATTCCTAAATATTATATAAACACAATGGTAGGAATTAGTTGCACCAATTATTATGCAAGTTTTGAGTAAAAACATGATTAGCTGTTATTTAAGATATGTAATTTTCCTTTTACTGATATACATTTGTTTGGAGTAAGACTTAAGTAAAAAATATTTTGACAGATGTGAATATCTGCTATGGGTTGGTTAATGTACTATAGAATACTTTATTTTCGCTTGGAATTTATTTTCGCTATTTTCGCTGAAGGGATGATTCCATGAAAATAAAATCCAGCGAATATACTTTTTTTTCCTATATTTCACATTGAACTCATCAAAAAACAGTGAAAATAAATTCCATACAAAACGCCCAAAAAGCCTTTTCAGCGAAAATTAATTCCAGCGAAAATAAAGTATTCCACAGTATTAGTTATTAATCACAGTATGTAAACGCAAAATGTGAGATGTACATAATTTAAAGCCAAAATACCAACAATGTATTTGATTTGATGAAAATTGTTCACTAGTCCAGAACTAGTAACTAAACTAGTTTTTACTAGTCCCATGCTAAGTCTGAGTCAAAGTTGTGATGTACCTGATTTCTATGGAACTATCTTTCAAAATGTACATGGGAAAACTGTTTATAATATGGATATTTATTAACTCATAATATCTCCCGTAGAAGATAAATGTGGTCACAAAACAAAACAAACAAACAAAAACACAATGTTCCAAACTCATTCAAAACAGTTACTGTCTGGTATTAAGACTGGCCTCAATAGGCGAGTGATATTGATTGTATATTTTCATACAATAACAAATGCAATCTCAGAAAATACAAAAACAAACTCGTATTTGACGTATGGATATGTAGCAATACATACCGGTCTTCTCGGATCAGGCAAGCTGTGCTCAAGTACCACTTTGAGTTCATGGTGATCGTCGGGGTGGACTATCCCGTAAATACATCGATGGACAAGGTCAACTTGGTTGAATCCAAGGTGAGTTGCAATATTTTCTGACGTATATAAAATCGTTCCATCTGATGTAAGGATAAAAAGAAATCCATCGAGGGCCTAAAATAATAGAAAGCGGCCAAAATGAAAACCGTGAGGTAACTTTGACTACTGGGCGCAGCCATTTTAAAATGTTTGACCAATCAGAACCGAATAAATCTGAAACTCGCAGAACGCATGCGTATTAGTTTACTTCCGGAATGTTAAAGGTGCGTGAGGTTACAGTCGGTTACTGTATAAACTTATCCATTTTGATATGATTTAACTGTTAAAGACAATATCAGATATGGTATATGCATTTCTGATTCACACGGTTCAACCTGGAACGTGCAGAGTGATATATTCGACAACGTTTGGACAGGAAGCGATCGAACTAGACCGAGTCGAAACAATAATATCGACGGGGTCGACTGACACTCAGGGCCTGGCAGTGAGTCAGGCTCGGTCGTCACCGATTGGACATGAACTACGGACGGTACGCAAAGAGCAGCTACAAATAGTGGCTAAACAGGTCCAGTCAGAATTTTCATTCCGGAGAGCCGTGTCAGGTAGATCATACGAAGACGAGATGCAAATTTTGGGCTCTGACGAGACCGCACTGCCGTTTGAAAAGGGGGTGTTACGACTTCGAGCTGGAGACCCATTCGTTGAAGAGAGAATTGTCGTATGGGAAGCGTCAGTGAACTGTGCGTTCGCTCTCGTCTGCAGCAGACACGAAAACCGAATCCAGGCTGAAACTGTTTTAACAACGGTGATTCGTTATCTTCAAGAATATGTCCGTGTTATTTCGCAACCCACGGAAGCTATGACCAAGGCTGACAAAGTCACGACGATTTTACATCAATTTCTACCAAATGGACAAATATTATTCATGAACCATCGCCTTTTGAAACAACTTGAAAAGGGAATGGAACTCTTAATGAGTGGAAAATGACGCTGTCTAATTCAAATAAGATATGTCATTTTAAATCCTATAAATGTTATTAAATAAATTTTCATTGTTTTCTGTAGTACAAATGTATTAATATTATAATAAATCAAGTCAGCGCTGAAAGAAGGATGCCATCGTAACGGTGTCCTACAACGATCCGAACAAATAATGTATAAACATGAATGATCGGGTACTTCATGAGATATCACTGTGCCCCCTTGTCACTTTCTTTACTATCCCTGTCGATTTCACGACAGTGACTGACAGCGGAAATGAATAACCTTATCCCATAATACATCATGTTTTGTAGTTGGCTGACAGCAATACGAAATCAGACAATACCTGCAACAGTAGCTGTCCCTGCATGGAGTTGTTAATGTCTTTGGCTACGTCCAGTTTCTGTTTTCCTTCGTTTGTTGGGCTGTCATCGAGAGATGGTGTTTGGGGCGCGCCCGGTGAAGTGTCTGGAGTGCTGTCGTTTTTGTCTTTGTTCCCTTCCGATGACAGAAGCGGTGACAATCCGGCAGCTGTGAAGAGATGAATATATTTTCGTTCAGTCAATTTATTTCGACAGAACTGACGTCTTGCCAGCTAACTACTTGGAGTTTCAATTCACCTTGTTGACTTCTTTCTATGTGTGGGGGTATAGGGTCAGCGACTGGAGGCAACAGTTAAGCATGATGTTGTTTCTGACACGTTTTATTACACCCCATATACGAAATATCTAGAATACGCATTTTGTCAAATAAAGAACTTTAATTAAAAAACATGAAGTGTGGCCGACAATTAAGAAAAAGACAATGCTATTACACGCTTAGTTCAGTATCATCAATGATGTATCCAACATTTGTATGTGTCGCATGGCTGTCTTTTGTGTGGTGTACGTGTGGGAGCAAAATATCCACTTTCAGTTCTGGGCTTTATAACAGATGAAATTGAAATACAGTGCCACTGGGTTAAAGCACTCTGTATCATCATTTCTATAGATCATCAAATCTATTGACGATACACGTGCGTTTATTTGGTGGCAGTAACCTCCCGTACTCCGACACTCTGTGATAAATGGCGAATGGTAGTTCCAAATCCATGCACACAAATCACATGTACGTATGAGTCTGCAAGGTCTACTTCAGCCTTTAGTCACACTGGTCATAAGCCGTGTTGATTTCGATGAAGACAAACGAGAGGGTCGGTAGCTCAACACTGGTGCTTGAAGACTTGTAACTGTCGCGATTTCTCTTTTTGTCGGTAACCTCAGACAAGAGTGAAAAGCAACGGGTAAATAAAGAAAGCGACATGTGCAACAAGAGGATATGAAGTACTTCTTTTCAGCGAGGTAGTCGCTAAAAATTCGATGAAAACTGAGACAACTTCAGGGTAACTTGGAAACTTGTCGTTTTAACGCCGCGTTGCGAATTCTTCACGTCGAGGGTGAGCGTTTCGAGGAGCCAAGTTGGCTAAGATAAATGTGGCGTCTCGTTTGGTCTCAAAGGGGGTGATAATAGCATTTTGTTTTTGATAAATCACAAGAGCCGATCTATACGGTAGTTTTTTTTTTGTTTTTTTTTTTGTGACGGGTGTTGCTACTTGTGTGAACCAATGTGCTCCAGACAAGGATGTCTTCTTCTGTCTCTGGGACGCCAAACGATTTTTTAAAGACAGAAAAACAACATGTAAATATGTATTCGTTAATTTAATAGAACACACCCACCCACCCCACCCAATATCTTAACGTTAAGGGTTTGGTCAGTAGAAATTGTAGGTGGTAGATATGGGAAACAAAATTCGCAAAGAGTAAAATGCTGAAAAATTCTACATGGCGAATTACAGAAAAAAAAATTATACTCATAAAACA